GCCCATGTGCTCAGAGGTGGGGCTTTTGGAAGATGATTACATCTTGGGGGCACCAACATCACCAATGGATTAACGCACTGAGTTCACAGCTCAATCTACTGTTAGGAGGAGGAGGTGAGTCACTGAAGGTGTGACTTGGAAGGGTATCAGCCTTCCTCTTTGGCTCTTCCCCTGTTCTCTGCTTCCCAGACGCCACGAGGTGAGTAGCTTTCCTCAAGCATGTCCTTCCACCATGATGTTTCTGGCCTTGGACTCAGCCATTCATTGACTGAAACCTCTGAAACTCTGAGTCAAAATAAATCCATCAAGTTGTGGATGTCAGGTATTTTGTCCCAGCAACAGAAAACCTAATACACTGGCTTTCCTGGTTCTTGCTCTAAAATTTTCAAGGGAGGTTCTTGATGAGCCAGTTTGGCTTACATGTACTCTGTACTCAACCAATCAATTGCACCTGGATGAAAAGTCACTGCTTCTGCAGCATCCACGTGGGTGAGGGACTGATGTACATACAGACTGAAAGTGTTTAAACGGCCAGCGCCAAATGCCTATTACAGGTAGTAGATAAATTTAGCAAAGTAACAAACAATGCCACGTGTGACTGAAACTTCCTAATATATTGTTTACCTTTTATTGGGGGGCAGTTTCTCAGTGCTTAAAATATCCTGAGTACACTACGGAATGCCTGCAGTTAGCCATAACAGCATCTTTTATTACAGTTGTACTCTGAATTATACAATACAAAACCCTTCCTTCCAGCAAGAACTGACTGACTGTTCTAACTCAAAATAGGCCTCAAATGTATCCTTTCCTCATCCTACTGCCACAAACTTCATTTGGCAGCCAGGGTCTCTCATCTTGGTGACTTCATGGCCTCCCTTCACCTGACCTCCACTCTGCAGTCTCCGCTCTGGGTGTGAGAAAGCCAGTGCACACGGAATAAACTGCTCCACAAAAGAAATGTTAGCTTCTTCCTACCATAGTATGGACTCTAATTTATTGATTAGTGTTTCTAATTTTTAAAATAATTTTTTAAAATTCTAAATGATTAGGGGAAAACAAATCTATGGCTACTAGAGGAGAGATGTCTTAACAGCATATTGACGACATTATATGGTAGCAATGGGTCGTCTTTATTCTTTATACTAACATCAACTTTTAAATCAACTAAAGATGTGGGCCAGGGATTTAGCTCACTGGTTCTGCTGCCTGCCTTGCAAGCACAGGGCCTGAGTTCGATCTCCGGCACTAAAAAATTTTTTTAAAAAAAATTTAACTAAAGATGTAATTTTGATATTCAGAAAATCACATACTATCTGGGAAGTGAGGTAAGAAAGTTAAGTGGTCAGGGGAAAAATTTCTACTTCTGGGGATCTGAATACCTATGCGATTTAGGCAGTGAGCCTCACAAGTCTGACAAAGGAGTCACTAACAAGCAAGGAAGTAACCAGTACTACTTTAACACCTTCTGAGGTTTCTATGACAACCATAACACTTCTTTCACTTTGCTTGAATATATAACAATGTACAAGTAGTCACTGCTAATCCTGATTTGCATTCTCCCAAAGAAAACGGTGCTAACTTCAAGCTTCCTACAATAAGAACAGTACAAGCATTTTACGGTACTCCGAGAAACACCACCAAAATCGTCTATTGGGTCAGATTGTTAATCCTCTCAGGTTTTGTGGTAATGATGGGGAATGAACAAGAATAATTATGTATCATTTAACTTTAGCATAACAGATGCATAGGAAATATAATACAATTGGGGTTGAAGTTTAATATTGAAATTTATCAAGTGGGCAATATTATAATTTGATTAATTCCTAGGTAATTGTGATTTTAAATAACAATGTTTCACAGAACAAACATGAAAAACAGTGAAAATAATAACAGACTCAATAACATAAAACTTTTAGAATAGTAATTACAGAACATGGATGTTTTAATGAATTTCATATTGCAAAGACACTGAACACTGAAAACAATTACATCGATACAATAAAAATAACTGATTCCACGGGACACTTATAAATGTGTACTTTTTCCTCCAAAGAAACTTTTTTTTACACATTTAAGTAACAAATGATTTACATAGTCTTTACATAGATTTCTAAAAATATGTACAGAACACTTGACTCTACAGAAACTGGTGTGCAGTGTTTGAGAAAAAGTCCTGTTTTGTCCAACAACAAATCCTCTTATGACATTTTTTGTCAACACACATTTTTAAATAACCACACATTTTCCTTCCATTGTTAAATGAAATTCTGGACATATCAGCACATAATAGTGTTTCTATTTCCAAACACTATTTCAGATGAGATCACATGTGGCTGGTAACATGACTTAACTTTAGCCACATGCACATATACACACACACACACGCACGCCTGAGCACGCATGCACTATTCCTAGTCCCTTAAAAATAACACTACTTATGGCCACAGCAGCAGTGGATAAAATCACGTTAGAAGATGACACAGTAGTTAGCAGTAAGTCACATCCTGCTCCTGAGAACTCTGCTTAAGCACCGTTAGGGTCTTCCACAATCATGGAAATGAGTGAGGAGCCTCAATTCTGGTGTCAGAGGCTGGTCCCTCCAATTAGCAAGAGAAGGTGAGCAGCTATTGGCAGTGAAGGTCACTAGTCTGCATAGAACTAAACGGCCATCATAAATACATATTTTTAAAAGCTTCAAAATATTTTCACCTGGCAGAAATCTGGTTCCTAGGTTTCATTCACTATTTGTATACATTTTTAATGTTCTGTCATCCTAAGACATCTATACTTCCAAATTAAAATACAAGGAACCCAAGAATGCAACCTGTGCAGCTCACCACTGGAAGTCATGTACGTTCCTGCCTTTGCACGTGCAGTAGAGTGAGAGCGGATGTGGCAATCGTCTCTCACTTTAAGGTAAAATTAGGCCACAGCACACACCTTGATTCAGCACAAGCAAAATACACCTCGGGACAGCAGGAGCTAAGACCTGAAATTCTAATCAACCACAATGACCACCAGCCCAACTTCAGTTCTCAAAAAACACTGGTCAGAACTAGTGATCAAAAAAGTCTGACTTTAAAAACAAATATTTAAGCTTAAGAAATAAAATTACTCTAAAACACTCATGGTTTGTCTCTTAGTTAGCAACCTCAACCCTAACAGTACATTATTATGGGTTATTCAGGGTCCCACATTCCTGGCTATACCAGTCAATTCAGAATCATTCAGGTTTTTCTGTTTGTTTTGGTTTGGTTTGATTTGGTTTTGGTACCAGGGATGGAACTCAGGACCTCACCCTTACCAGGAAGGCACTGTGCCACTGAGCTAAATCCCTGGGGCCTCTTTAGAATCATTCTGAATGATTTGCATTGTTGGGAAGTTCCTAAGATGAACTCCTGTAGGACCTATGTAAAATGTGCCAATAACAAGGCATTTTTCATTCTTGTCCTTGTTCTTTCAAAGAACACTCAAATGTCCCATGTACAACAGTACTACACTTTATCCACTGGCTACTAACCAGTTACCCACTCCGTTGTCCTCCTATGTCACCACCAAACAAGGGTAAACACAAAGAACTGGGAGGGGTTGGGGGTGTGTCACTGCGATAGTTTTAAATATCACCTTCTTTCCTGTGCCTCTCCAAGAGATCAGCCTCCAAAAGGCCACATGTAAAGGATTACAATACAAATAAGAGGGGCAGCAAGTGAGATGTCTCTACCAAAACTGTAACTCAAAAAGAAACATTAACTTACAAACATCCAATGAACAGTAATTTCTTAAGAAGGCAAGAATAATAGGCTCACTTGCACAACAGCAAGATTGGCACTGAGAGGCATCCCAGCTACTCAAGACAAAAGTATCTTGGTTACCTGTGAGCTAGTTATTATAGTAATCATCTTATTACCCTAAATGAAGAACCTTTTAACTTCAGGGTACATTTGGTATGATTGTCTTTCTTGCCTTCTATATTGAATTCAGAATTCCAGCTTTAAATCAAAAGTGCTTTAGCTAGGTAACAGTGAGACTCCAAAGTTTCCCAAATATTTATTTTTGAGGTAGTACTCATTTATTTGCATTGTTGGCTCTCAAATACCACCAAGGAAGTGAACCCATTTAGAAATATGCAAACCAAAGATGTAAAAAATAAATAAGATTTTGCTTTCAGGTAGCAGGGCTTTCTTATAAAGGTCAAGTCACATTCAATGGATATCATTTGAAACTTCTAAAAACTGTTTATAACCACAGCTATAAACTAAAGTGCTTTAAATTTTGCTTAATATCTAAAATAGCTGATTAGAATCATACTGTTGAATTTGCTAGTATGAGACCTCAGGAGTTTGAAATGATTTTCTATAAAAAGAACAGAAATGTTTTCTTTTCAAAAGAAACTCTGAATGTTGGAAATCCAGGTTATTTTTACATAACTATAACAGAAATTAAGTTAAACCTGAATTATACAACAGCACGTGCTAAAATGTCATACAGAAGTAAACGTGAAATCTCTGATCATTCCTCCCACTAACTAGCAATACAAATGCAGCTCTGCAAACTTCCCAGTACAAGGTAGATAGGTATAATTATTCCAGAAAATGTAACAGACTGTTTATGCCTCACAATAAGCACATAGGTTCACATTTAATTCACACAAATGTAATGCCCTACTGTTCTTCTCTCAAATGTCAACAACTCACAAGCACTGACTGTGCTACACGGAAGGTGAGCTTCACTTCTACTGACCAGAAGATGCCAATATATATATATATACAC